ATATATATATATATAAAATGAACTAAAATAAAATTAACAATTATTTGCTGTCGCTACTCGGAGTTTCACGCCGTAGGGCGATCTTCAGGCAACTGACAGATTATATTTTATTTGCTGACTATATACATCGACTAAAAGGTGTTAGGTTACATGACGGCATGCACTTAACGTATTGGAACGTTTATTTAAAATGTTCTTTTTACGTCCTTTCAGGATAAGTAGCCTTTCTTCACGGCAAAGACGGCAGGTTCTTTGGTTTTTGTTCGGAGGTGGAAGTTGTTTGATGAAGACCCATTTAATGTTGTAGTTACGTTTGTTTTCTTTCAGTGTCCACGTGTATTTAGAAAGTTCTGTCTTGTTGCGGTATTTAATGTTCGTAATTGATTTAATGTGGTTTCGATATCGTGTCTTGAAAGCGCATGCAGTAACACCTATATAAGTTTTTGTTTCGTTGTTGTCAGTCGTTGTAAATCACGTTGGGTTTCAGGCAATTGCCATTTGTCGGGCATAGGTGTTTCTGTCTGAAGTTACATTTCTTTGGGGGGTTGTTCTTGTTCTGGGTTGTTTCTGGGTTAAGTCTTTTCAAAATAGTCTTGTTGTGTCTGGTTATGAAAGTTTTCATGTTTTCGCCGCAGCTGTAGCTTACGCGTATGGTTTGTCAGTTGAATATCTTGGAGAGTATAGTATTTGGTGGGAATGTTTGTCGATAAGTTGTAGGAAGTCTTGGGCGATGTGTGTTTTTACGTTTTTGCTGTATGGTGGGTTAAACCAAGTGACGTTACGTTTTCTGTTGCACGTAGTGTTTACATTGATGTTTGATGGATTAAAGATGAGTTGGGTGGAGAAGTTGCTTTGTTTAAGAGCTTGGTTGTAAATTGGTGCGGCATTTTCGAAGGTGTCTTTGCTAGATGAGAGTGTGTTAATTCGGTTGTTGATGGATGTGGGTAGTTGGCGTAAAACTGATGGTGGGTGGTTGGATGATCTGTGAATGTAGAGGGGCTCGTCGTTGGGTTTTCTATATGGTTGGTAGGTGTCGTTGCTAAGGTCAAAGGTTACGTCAAGGAAGTTTGTGCGTTCATGGTTTGTCATCGCTGTGATTTGTAGTCCAAGCTCGTCAAATAGGTGTGAGAGGGTTTTTCTTTCTTGGTCGCAGAGTCTTCCAGATTTGGTATTTATGACTGCAAGGCCATCGTCACGGTATAAGCCGACGTTGTTTCCGTATCGGTGCTGCAGTTGGTCGAGTAAGAATAGCCCTACAAGCTCGCAAACTTCCGCTCCATCATAGCTGCCCATGGTTACATCAAACGTGTTGGTAGCGTTGCGTTTGGACTATGATTTGTTTTGGTGGAAAAGAAGTGATTTTCTTGCGTGTTTTATAATGGTGTGGTCTTTTTCTGTGATTGTTGTGTATTGTTTAGCCCACGCTAGGCATTTGTCCAGTAGGTGTTCGGTGATCGAATGGTAAAAGTCAACTATGTCAAATGATATGAATGATTTTCTTTGTTTTTCGGTGATGGATTTGAACCAAGTGATAGCATCTGTTGTGTTGCGCCATTGGTTTAGTTTTAGTTCGTTTCGTATTACGTTGTTGATGTTGTCTAGGATGAAACACTACATGGATCAGAAAACGTAACGTCACTTGGTTTAACCCACCATACAGCAAAAACGTAAAAACACACATCGCCCACGACTTCCTACAACTTATCGACAAACATTTCCCACCAAATACTATACTCTCCAAGATATTCAACTGACAAACCATACGCGTAAGCTACAGCTGCGGCAAAAACATGAAAACTTTCATAACCAGAGACAACAAGACTATTTTAAAAAGACTTAACCCAGAAACAACCCAGAACAAGAACAACCGCCCAAAGAAATGTAACTGCTGACAGAATCACCTATGCCCGACAAATGGCAATTGCCTGAAACCCAACGTGATTTACAAAGCCGACGTGACATCGACTGACAACAACGAAACAAAAACTTATATAGGTGTTACTGCATGCGCTTTCAAGACACGATATCGAAACCACATTAAATCGATTAAGAACATTAAATACCGCAACGAAACAGAACTTTCTAAATACACGTGGACACTGAAAGAAAACAAACGTAACTACAACATTAAATGGGACTTCATCAAACAACTTCCACCTCCGAACAAAAACCAAAGAACCTGCCGTCTTTGCCTTGAAGAAAGGCTTATTATCCTGAAAGGACGTAAAAAGAACATTTTAAATAAACGTTCCGATACGTTTAATGCATGCCGTCACAGGGGCGGATTTAAGTGTCATCAAATCCATCACGCGACGAACGTATGAAATGGTGATTAATTATTCATGCAACATACTAAAATTAATAAATAATTAAGTCAACTATCACATATCGTAAGCCAAACGAAAGCATAACAATCAGAATTAATTAATGGCCTGAGTGTACAGCCGTTTTTTAAGGAAAGCTATATAATTAGCCTCGAATATGATCTCAAGCCCACAGATCCATCAAATAGTCAAATCTTAGTCTTCTCATTGGTCTATTGCCATGGAAACTTGCAGTTTTGATGTATCTGTGGGGAGGCCTAATGGATTGACGACTTTCAAGGGCTCTAACAATCATATTTTATGTTATCGACTAGAATTTTTACTTTGTTATTTTACGCTATTTGATACTTTGACTGATTCACAGCAGGGGGTCATTTATTTTGAAGGTCTTATCTTTCGCTACATCGCAAAAATTGCAATCACGCTTTGTTTAAAAAAGTTTCAGTTGTATCTGATATGGATTACGGTGTTCTTCAAGCTGCCTTTGCGGCAGATGATTGTAAAATTTTGGCAGGTTTTTATGTTGATCTTGCCAGGCAACTAAATGAGCAAGATGAGATATCGCTTGAGCAACTATTGGGTGCCATAAGTAGCTCGTCAAACAGCATTAGCAGAAATTATTGCGCGGAAACTTATATTCCTTTGGCTGTTTGAAATCAAAAGGAAAAATCGTGCATAGCTTTGAGGTAAACTATATATTTTGTACAATTTTTCTCATATTTCACTAACAATATGTAAGAATGTAAATATGCATACAAATGGTATTGATGACTTGCCTTGTTTACGTTCGCACGGTTTGCTGGCAGGCAGATAAATCTCAAGGGAAGTTAAGCATTTTTGCTTAATTGTGCTGTGTTTCCAAAACGAAAGCACTATACAAAGTCTGCTTGCTATAGGTTGCCAGCAAAACGTCTGGTTGTATATCACAGGTCACTTGTGTTGTCTAAATCTCATCAACCTTTCAACTTGCTGATTTTTGTGGTTTTAGACTCGCATTTTAAAAACTTTATGAATGTACAGTGAGATAAACTTGTCAAATTTTCAGTTCAACCTGCTTGTTGATTATTCCTTGATTCTTTATAATTCTACTATTAACAATCCTATTTGAATTACTTATATTCATTCCCTGCTTATAGTTGTCAGCACTATTACACATTTCATATAGAGGATGTAGATTTTGTCAATATAAAAACATAAAGTAAATATCATATTTACGCGAGATTTTATTGTCAGTTAGCTATTTTATTACTCAATAAAACTAAATAAGATTATAACATGATTATATAATACATTTATCAAATAATGTCATATATAGAACATTTTGGAACCAAACCCAAAAATTCTTTCATCATCAGCTTCATGTATTTTCTTAGATCAGAAGCTTCAGGGAATTGCTTGTACAGTTCCGTGTCTTTGTCTCTGCTTGGTGATGATAGATTGGTTCCAACTTTAAGAATCTTAACCTCACTTGAGCTTTTCCTGAATGCTCATTTTTACTGTGAGCATCCCTGCTTTTTGTCTGCCATTGAAGAGCATCCTGATTTTTTTAAGGGAAGTATAAAAAATCTTTTACCTTTATCTGTCTCTGTTGAGTCCTTAGATACCGGTGCTAGTAAGGAAAATTTAGTGAAGAAAGAGGCTGTTTTTAATTGCAATGATGGTAAATGGTCATCATTTCTTTGTATTTTGAGTCTGTCTTCAGTTTTGAAAAGATGTATTGTTACATATTATCCGGATTGTGGACAACACAGGCTCAAACTTTTATTTAATCGTGTTATTCAACCCCGCTTGCATACTACTAGGGTTGAAAAAGAAATTCATATTCTATTCTGCCATGAAGGTGACATAAGAACTGGAGAATCATTTCAGCCTAACCATTTTGTCCCTCTTCTTTTCATGCAAGTGCACACAAGCGAAAGTCTGCTGACATTACACAAGCCACAACGTCAGCAAAAAAACGTAAGGTGCCTTCCTTATTTTCCAAGAAGGTGGCAAAATTTCCTTCTGGTAATATTCCAATTATTTCTAACTTTTTACTGCATCAGAAAAACAGCCATCCAAGTTATTTGAAAAAAAGCCCAATGAAACTTTTTCTTCTGCCAAACAAGTTCCTTCTTATATCACGTTGAAACAACCAATTAAGTCCTCCGCTAGTCAATCTTGTCCAGAAAAGAAGTATCATTCTGTGCATAATTTTGATGTTGCAACTTACCAGGATAAAGTTAAAGGCTTAGATACTTCTGGTGTTCTTCAATTGATTAAAAATGTTTTCAGGCCTGATGAGAATTTTTCCTTTCCTAAGACCGGTGGTAGGAGCTTTAGATATGACTGGCTAAAAAAATATGACTGGCTATGCTACTCCCCATCAAAAGATGGTGCATTTTGTTTGTCATGCGTGCTTTTGGTCATCGCTTCCCTGGTAAAGCTTCTAAGATTACAAATTTGTTTTCTAAACCGGTTTCACGCTGGAATGATGCTGCATTTACTTTTAAACGCCATGATGAAGGAGAAGTGGGTTGCATGCCCAAACAAATCCAATTTTATTTGCCTTACGTGCTCAAATGTCAGGGTCTGCGCAACCAATAGAGCTCATGTTAGAAAGAAATCTTAAAAAGGAAATCGATCAGAACAAATGTAAGCTGTCTTCTATTGCTGATTGCATTCTTTTTTGTGGTTGTTTAGGTTTGCCTTTGCGTGGCCACCGTGATGATGCTAAATATCATCCAGAGGTTGGTCAGTATTCTACTGGGGTGTTGGAAATTTTGTGGAGACACTAAATTTTAAAGTTCGTTCAGGGATGGTGTTTTAGGGATCACTTAACATCTTGTGGGAAAAATAGAAGTTACATCTCTAAGACCAGCCAGAATAAAATGATCAAGTGCTTTGGAGAGGTTATTACTGAACAGATTGTCAACGACATTAAGGTTAATAGGTTCTTTTCTATTATAGCTGATGAGGCTGCAGATTCTTCCCATAGAGAGCAAATGGCTCTAATTTTACGTTTTATTGATAAGAATATGGACATAAGAGAGGAGTTCATTGCCTTTCTTCAATGTAAGTGGGGATTGAGTGGAGAGAACCTTGCTAAATTAATTCTAGATAAACTTAAAGACCTTGGCTTGCCAATTGAAGACTGTCGCGGACAAGGTTATGATGGTGCGGGTGCTGTTGCAGGTTGTGTTAAAGGTTTGGCTGCCCAAATTTTGAAGCTCAACTCGAAAGCATTATATACCCACTGTTATAGTCATAGGCTTAATTTGTCAGTTTGTGATTCTTTGTCAGATATTGAGGTTAAGAAAGTACTTAACAAAATAAAAGATGTGACAAATTTTATCAATATTTCTCAAACACGCAATATACCGTTTGAGGAGACTGTACGCAATAGTTTAGAAACGGACTCAAAAAAGACTAGATTGCCAGATGTTTGTAGAACCAGATGGGTAGAACGAGTTAAAGGTTTAGACACTTTCGAAGAATTGTTTGTTCAAATTTTGACACACTGGATAACATGGCAAAAGGTGGCAGTCCCTCTCGCTGCTGATGCATCCTCTTTGCTTGAAGGTCTTTCTGAGTTTCATTTTATCGCCCTCTTGGTTATTACCAGAAATGTTTTGATCTAACGCTTCCTGTTACTCAGCTTTTGCAAGGAAAGAGTATTGATGTTATGGACGGGATTGAGTTGATCTCTTCTTTGAAAAGCAGTGTTGCACATGTGAGGAATTCTATTGATTCATATCATGATCAATGGTACGACATTGCTTTGACGTTAGCGGCAAAGGTTGGGGTAGAAGAATGTAAACGTAGGACAATTGGAAGGCAAACTACAAGGCCTAACGCTCCTTATCGTTCTATCTCGAGTATTACAAACGAATCTATACGATTCCTTTAATTGACCATCTTCTCTCGTCTTTGGATGCGCGATTTGACACGGAAAGTGTAAATGTTTATCAAGGACTAAGTATTGTTCCAACAAAAATGTTTTCTCTTATAAAAAATGGGATTGACTGGAGACATAAATTTAAGATTGTTTCAAAATTTTATGTTGCTGATTTACCCAATCAGTTAGGTTTAGATGCAGAGTTGTTATTATGGCAATCCTTCTGGGAACATCGTAAAGGTCCTTATCCATGTAATGTAGCTACAACTTTAAAAGCTATAAATTTTGATGGTTTTCAAAACATAAAGGTCATACTTCAAATATTAGGAACCCTTCCCATAACTTCATGCGAATGTGAACGTTCGATTTCAGCGCTGCGAATTCTTAAAGATTATAAGCGGAGTACTATGGTTGAGGAACGGTTAAATGGTCTTGCTCTAATGAAAATTCATCAGGAAATTCTTCCAGATGTGCAACGCGTAATTGATAAATTTTCTGTTGGCAACACTAGATTTAAATTTAATTGAAATCATGAGAATTTTTTAAATTTTGTCTTTCTACATCTAAATTCTTTTTTAGTTTATAGATAAAATTGTTGATGTACCTATGTATAAAGGACATGCATTTAATTCTATGCAATAACCAGATTGCTGGCTTCGGCTCTTTAAAGGGCTGTCCATGTCGGATGATGCTTTGAAATTTGGGGCATCATCCTAGGCATGCGGAAGAGCTCTGATATTGGGTGAAACAGTCTGTCATCATCTGATTAAAGGGAATTCATCTTAGTTTTCGCAATTTTATGATCGCTAAAGTTTTATAAATCGCTGCATAAGATACAACGTATGATGTCATCTATGAGGTCATATTTGAGGCCACATATGACGTCATAAATTTTTGACTAACATATGAAAAATCCTAGATCCGCCCCTGTGCCGTCAGGTAACTTAACACCTTTTAGTCGATGTATATAGTCAGCAAATAAAATATAATCTGCCAGTTGCCTGAAGATCGCCCTACGACGTGAAACTCCGAGTAGCGACAGCAAATAATAGTTCATTTTATTTTAGTTCATTTTATCTTACGCTCTTCTAATATATAGAATATTGAGCGCTCTTTTATCCAGGATTATTATCCGTAAAATATTCGCTCCTTCTGAAGTTGAGCGCTGTTATAAACCTGAAAACTCGAGGACAATTATGCAACAGATTAATTTTAACTATTCGCTGAAAAACATTGGCCTACCAGCTAAAGACAGTTATCTCAGAAACCTCATCACCAAAACCCACGACTTTGTACAACGCATGAGATGGAAAGCCCACTTCTTTCTCCGCCACACTGACGACGCCATTCGCACACAAAGACCGCACACTTATGGCTTAAAGACAAAACGAAATCAACCATCAGCTCCATCCTTAAAACCTTTTGAAGACGACGTTTCTTAGTTAATCGAAAACATCGAGTTCCGCAACATCCACAACGATTTTCTAAAATCATTACACAAAAACATGAACAAAATCAACGCATCAAACAACGTCTTCATCTTCGCCGACAAAACAACAAACATCTATGAAATGGACGCCTCAAATTACAACAAACTACTAACAGAGAATGTGACAAAGACATACAAACACACGCAGGAAGATACTGTAGAAGAAATAAATTCCGAACTAAAACTAATCGCTGACAAACTAGAAATCGCCGACAGAATAAACACCAGGAACCATACTCCAGCATTCATATCTTTAAAGGACCACAAACCAGACTTTGAAAACAACCCCAAATGCCACCTTATCAACCCCGCAAAAAGCCACCTCGGAAAAGTCAGCAAATTTATCCTAGACAACATCAACAACGTAATACGAAACGAACTAAAACTAAACCAATGGCGCAACACAACAGATGCTATCACTTGGTTTAAATCCATCACCGAAAAACAAAGAAAATCATTCATATCATTTGACATAGTTGATTTTACCCTTCGCCCTTCGATCACCGAACACCTACTGGACAAATGCCTAGCGTGGGCGAAACAATACACAACAATCACAAAAAAAGACCACACCATTATAAAACACGCAAGAAAATCACTTCTTTTCCACCAAAACAAATCATTGTCCAAACGCAACGCTACCAACACGTTTGATGTAACCATGAGTAGTTAACTAATATATATATATATATATCATCGCAGGCTCAAGCTTTTTTATTATAAAATGTATTATGTCTAAAAGTAGTCATAATACATTTTATAATAAAAAAACCGGGGGGATCGTTTTTGAGGCAGTCAGCGGTAGTAAACAAAAAAATAGAGAAGGTGAGCCTGTGATAATATACATATATATATTAGAAAAGTGAATAAGAGTAATACAAAAAATATAACAAAGAAGATTTCATAAAAAAAAGATATATTGAAAAGAACAATAAAAAATAATTACATTGATGAAAGTCCAAAGTCCAATTTTTAAAAAATGATAATATGGAAAGTCCAAAGTCCAATTTACTGAAGATACAAATTTTCTTGCCTCAATGCTTCATCCACAATAAAGAATCGCTAAAATGAATCAACCTTTTCACCAAATTCTTCATCCCAATACCAGTTAAGCCAATCTTCTATTTGTAAACAAAGACATGGATAAAAACGTGACCCAACTCGTATGTTACACATTCTAATATTTAAAAAATTTTTTTCTAAAAAAATGATGTTAAACACGTAAGTGTCATAATATTAATAAATAATAAAAATTAAAATATGCTTACCAAAAAAGTGGAGATAAAATTAATCAAAAACACCAATATTAACAGGCTGAACTAAAGATGTTGGTGCTTTATGAAGACAGAGGATAAATCCAATATGAAGAAGACCTGTTATGAAGATGTATTGACCATCATATTTCCAAAAAAATTTCAGATCTTGAATAATTGAATTAATTCTACTTTTGAAAGACATCTTCTCTCTTTGAGCGACTGAATATTTATGATACAAGTAGATATAGAAAAAAGTATAAATATAGAGAAAATTGTAAAAAAATGAAATTTATTGTAAAAAGTTGAAAAAAATTGAAAAAAAAAATTTAAAAATGTTAAAAAATGAAAAAAATGTAAAAAATTTCAAAATAGTTTTAATCAAGAAAAAGCAATTTATTACATGTTTTTTACAATTTAAAATGTTATAATAAAAAAAATTTTTTAAAGTAAACCACTAGGTTCACCAAATGGTCGTTGTTTTTCCTCTTTTTTAATAAATGAACCAATGGGCACACCACCAAATCTTGATTGACAAGATGCACCAAATGCTAATGGTTTTCCTCCTTACTAGGTAAATCAAATGTTTTTTTACCTTCACCAAATGCTTCTGGTTTTTCTTTTTTACTAAGTAAATTAAATGTTTTTTGAGCACTAGATTTACCAAATAAACCAGTTGGTTCACCAGATGTTATTTTAAAGATAAAACATTTTTATCTTTTTTTTCTAAATCATTAATTTTATCAACTAATTTGTAAGAATGTAAAAAATGTTCTTTTTCCATTTTTGTTATCACATTATTTATTTCTTTTATTTCTTTTTGCAGTAAAATATTTGTTGTTTTTATAAATGAAGATATTTCTTGTAGTCTTGTTTTTATATCACTATTTTCATTCATTTTTTCTTTTTTTTTGTATTTTCTTTCTGTAATATAACGAAAGTTTGATTAAAAATGAATATATTCAGATTTGAGTTTTGTTAATAACATATCTTACCGTTCTATATTTTCTCTCTTTATGAATAAAATTAACTTCTTTTTCAATTTTTTTTTGTAATTCTTTCTTTTCTTTACAGCAAGTATATGTATGATGAAAAATACAATCTGATAGATATACAGGTAATGACGCGTTATTTAAAAGCTTTTGAGATCTTTGACATTTTTTACAATAAAAACAATATTTATAAAATAATTTTTTATATCTTTCATTTTCAAGAAAATTATCACTTTTATTTTCAAGAAAATAATCACTTTTATTTTGTTCCATTCAAAAATTCAAATTTCTTAAAAAGCAATAATGTTTTTTCTTTTTAACATTTCTTTTTTTTTCTTTTTTTTTCTTCTTTTCTTCTTTTATTGATTGAATTTCTTCTTAATTTTTTTAATTTTGTCTTTGTTTTTAATGCAATATTTATTTTTTGTATTCTTTATCATAAATATAAATAATTAATTTATCTTTTATAAAATATTTTTTAAATTTTCTTCTTTTTATTATAATATTGTTTTTTTTTTCTTCTTTAATTTTTTGTTTTTTTTTTTTTCTTCTTCTTCTTTAAAATTAATTTCTTCCTCAATTTTTTTATTTCTTCTTTTCTTTACAGCAAACATATAAATGATAATACAACAATGAATTTATAAAGAAATAATATTTGTAATCATGACATTTACAATAATAACAATATTTTAAAATACTTTTGTATATTTTGATGTATTGAT